TAAAGTTTTAAAAGTTTCCATTACACACATGCCCTGTCACCACCACAGTAGCAGCTTATCTGCATATCAGGACCTCATTAGTGTAGTAGAACCAGGCACTGGAAGTAAGAGCCCAGTAGGACAAAACTAGATAGTGTGTCCTGGCACTGTTTTTCATACAAGTACTTTTAAAGTAGAGAATATTTAGTAAATCTGTGTGTCAGCATTTACTGAATCTGTGTGAGGCAGAGATCTTGTCCTAGATAATGGTTTCTGTGTGCGCTGCACCTAGACTTCCTGCCCTCCTGCACTAGCTGGCTCTCCCACCGCAGCAGCATGTTGCTCTCGTACATCCCTCTCTTCGTTGATGCTTCTTTTTTCATGCTTTTCAGTAATACTGGTTGAAGCCAGTAAATATTCAAAATGAATCCGCTGGATCGCTGATCACACTGATCGGCTTTCCCACGTGTGTTTTTCACTATTCCCCTGGACTGAGAGTCAAGCATTCAGTGTCAGTGTTAAAGAACTAGCATTAACTTTATCCACTTGCAGAGAAGTCCATATACATCCATACTGTATACAACAGCTGTATTCTAACATTAGCATAGCCAGCCTTACTAGCCTGCTAATAACATGTTAGAAGAGTTGGATCTCCGCTATTGACAGCACCATGTTAAAAACTACGGAGAGGAGGAGCTGTCCACTAACGGTCCGTCATCGTGTGTTTGTTTGTGAGAGAGCGGGACACAGAAGGACTGAGGGAATACAGTGCATGCACTACACTGAAATAACATTTAACTTTAACGTATGTGGAGTGCCTCAGGGTTCTGTTTTGGGACCTAAATTATTTATATTATACATTAACGATATATGCAAGGTTTCTGATTTAGTGAAAGTGTTTTTATTTGCTGATGACACTACCATATGGGCATCGGGTGAAAACCTACAGCAACTTTTTGAACAGGTTTCACAGGAACTTGAGAAGATAAATAAATGGTGTGATAGTAATATACTGTCTCTGAATTTGGATAAAACTAAATTTATGGTATATGGGAATCGTAGACTAGATAATGAACTTCAGTTGAAAATTGGGGGAGCTAATATAGAACGAGTATATGAAATTAAATTTCTACGTGTCATAGTTGACAAATTCTCCTGGAAATCTCATATCAGATATGTTCAGCACAAAATAGCAAAGAATATATCAATATTGGCAAGGGTTAGATATATCATACCATACCAACTTTATTTATAAAGCACTAAAAAACAACCAGAGTGGACCAAAGTGCTGTACATTGCAATAAAACAGTATAAATTATAAACCACAAACAACAATATAAAATATAATCAATATAAAAAATTTAAAAAAAGACTAAAATCAACACAAAAATATCAAAATGCCAGGGAAAATAAATGAGTTTTTAAAAGAGACTTAAAAACAGACAGGGCAGAGGCTTGTCTAATGGACAGCGGTAAATCATTCCAGAGTTTAGGACCAGCAACTGCGAAGGCTCGATCGCCTCTAAGCTTACGCTTCGTTCTTGGGACACTCAAGAGAAACTGATTTGCTGACCTCAGAGAGCGTGTGGGTGTATGCCAATGAAGCAAATCAGTTAAGTAGGATGGTGCAGAGCCATGAAGGGATTTAAAAACAAAGAGTAAAATTTTGTAATGGACCCGAAAATGGACAGGTAACCAGTGTAGGGAGGCCAAAACTGGAGAGATATGTTCATATTTCCTTGTACCTGTTAAAAGACGCGCTGCTGCATTTTGGACCATCTGGAGGCGATTGATAGAAGACTCACCGACCCCAAGATACAATGAGTTACAATAGTCCAAACGGGAAGTAATGAAAGCATGAATAAGCGTCTCAAAATGCTGTCTAGAGACAAATGCTTTTACTTTAGCCAACTGTCTGAGGTGAAAGAAACTAGATTTAATGACAGCTGCAATTTGGCTGTCGAATCTTAAATCTGGATCCATCTTAATACCTAAATTTAAAATATTCTTTTGATTATAATGAGCCAATGAGCCCAAGTCAACAGATGGTGAACCAACAGAATCACCGAATACAATCACCTCAGTCTTATCCTCATTCAGCTTTAAAAAGTTAAAAGCAAGCCAAGATTTAATGTCATCCAGACATTCAAGAAGTGTGCTAACGGAAGAGCTCATCTTATTAACCGGTAGGTAAAGCTGGCAATCATCCGCATAAAAATGAAAGGAAACACTGTGATTCCTGAGTATAGTACCAAGTGGGAGAAGGTAAAGGGAAAAAAGAAGGGATCCAAGGACCGAGCCTTGTGGTACCCCATACACAAGGGGCTCAGAGGAAGATACAGCATCTCCTAGTTTCACACAGAAGGATCTATCCTTAAGATAAGATCGAAACCATTCCAAAGCTATCCCCCGGATACCCACCCAGTGCTCCAAACGAGAAATAAGGATATTGTGGTCCACTGTGTCAAAAGCAGCAGTCAAATCTAAGAGCACTAGGACCACACAATTCCCTGAGTCAGTAGCAAGAAAAATGTCATTTAAGACTTTCACCAAGGCTGACTCAGTACTATGCTGGGTTTTAAACCCTGATTGAAAAGTCTCAAGAATATTGTGCTCATCTAAGAAAGCCAGTAACTGAGCATAAACTATCTTTTCAAGGACTTTGGAGAGAAAGGGCAAATTGGAGATGGGCCTAAAATTTGAGAACACTGTGGGATCCAGACCAGGTCTCTTAATCAGCGGCCGCACCACGGCATGTTTAAACATCTTTGGAACCAGGCCAGAGGATAAACTGCTATTAATAATGGAGAGAACAAATGGCCCCACAACTGGAAAGATTTCCTTTAAAAAACGAGGAGGAACAGCATCATTTGGGGAACCAGAGGGATTCAGTCGCCCAACTCCACCCCCTGTATATCAGAGCTGCTAGGCTGGTCCACAGAACAGCTCTCAGGGTAGGTGACAACACATTAAAGTAATGGAGAACCAGCAGTAGATGCTTTAGCTGTATTACTAGCAGTATTGTGAATGTGTCCAGCTGAGAGCTCTGTGACGCCACTGACGTACCAGTCAGTCCAAGTCCATTTAATACAGGTGAACAGCAGCACAAACTGCAGCCTCCACAGTGATCACACAGGTGAACCAGCACCTCTGTGAAACAGTCTAAACACACTGAACACCACCACCTTCATGAAGGAGGATTCACTACAGGACTGTTGAACCAGACTGAGACAGGGGTTCTTAATAAAATGACCACAGATGTATCATCTTCAATGTGCAGACGTTTGAATCAGAGAAACAGCAGAGTGAGTTTGAAATGCTTTTATTGATGATTTAGAACAGAATTGATCAGCACATTTTATTCTTCTCCTTGGATCAAAGTGTATCAATGGACAGGAAGCTGTGATGTCATTAACTGTATGCATCTTTTTCAGTCTGCGATTGGCCGGAGGGTGCAGCCAGTGGGAGCTCAAGGGTCAATGCAGGCTCTGCCCCAGACTCACCTAGAGCAAGACAGAGTTATAACTCTTAACTAGAGCTGTTTCTGCTCCTGCAGGGTGATGTGATGATAACGTTGCTTTTTGGAACCTGCTCTGTTTCTTTTAACAGTGGTTTTGCTATCATTACTTTAATTGTAGAGATTCAGGAAAACAAAAGGTTAGCTTCTGAGAGAGTTCAGAATAAATGTAATGTCATGCTTCTCTGAGTCAGAAGGAAAGCAAAGATTAGGCCTGGGTAGGTAGCCTCAGCCTGCAGCCCAAGCCTAATCTTTGACTCAGAGAAGCACGACAAACCATTTGACTGACATTACATTTATTCTGAACTCTTTCAGAGGCTAAACCCTTGCCCCGGTAACAACTTCTTGTTCCCTGAATGTGTACCACAGAGAAGGTGATACGGGAAATGCAGATTAAAATAAAGTGAGCTTATCCTTGAAGTGGTCTGAAGCACAGTCAAGTGAACTGGTAGACTGAAGTGGAGTAGACAGAGTAGAACAGTTGAGTCCAGTAGAGTGGACTTTTTTGATTTAGTGGGATATAAGACTGCTGTGTTTTTGTATAAAGCCAGGAACAATTTATTACCTGGTGGAATTCAAAAACTATTTAATGAAAGGGAAGGGGGATACAATTTAAGGGGTCAGTTAAATTTAAAAATTCATGTTATGCGTACAACCAAAAAAAGATTTTGTATTTCTATAAGTGGGGTAAAACTATGGAATAATTTAAGTGTGGACATAAAAAATAGTAATAGAATTGACGAGTTTAAACATAAATATAAAGGTATGTGTCAATCAAGATATATGCAAGAACAGGCTCAATGATTAATTAGATTGTACATTGTGGGTGTGGTGTATGAATGTTAATACTCTGTAATAATTCTTTAGTATATTACTTGTGTGGTGTAAAAGAGAATTATTTATGTAGAGATACTGCTTGCAAACCAGTGATGGTAAGATGATGTCATGGGGTAGGACTGGATAAGTCTGACTTCTTCCTACTCCATTCAAGCATGTACTAGGTATAAGCAAATTGATATTGGGTTAGCATTTGTTGGATATGTGTAAAATTATGTGTGTTGACATATCAACTGTCTTTACATGCTTGAAAGAATAAATAAATCAAATCAAATCAAATTATTTTAATCTATATGTGGCGTTTAATGTTGATATTGTATGAAATAAGTCAGTGTATGGGGAAACACTGGGAATGTGTTTTGACCTGACTATATTCCTCTGGTCTCTCAGGTATCTACTCCAGTCTGAAGGACCCTCTCACACTGGGCAGTGTCTGTAGTACCCCTCTCTCTCTGAGTGGAGGAATGTGTAGCACTTCCTTGTCCCTGGGAGGGGGCATGTGTAGCACCCCGCTCTCCTCAGGACTCCTTCCATCCCATGTCTCCCTTCCGTCAGTCAACGCTGTCTCAAACACACAGGTATTTTAGACAGAAACAAAATGCCAAGGACCGAGCCTTGTGGAGATCGGTTAACATGAGGGGTTTCAGCTGGGCTGGATCAGTGCCACTGCACAGCTGCCGTGGCTGGTATTTATCCCTGTGTGGGGGACAGTTTGATTAGAAAGGCCTGCTGTATACGAGTTTAGTCAAATCCTTATTTAACTGCTGACACTGCTATTGTTAGCAACTGGTTTAAAAAACCAAACTGTGATTATAGAATTTTTAAAAATTCTATTTTCCAACTGATTGTTTCAGTTATTTTGAAGGCAGAAATGTCAAATATTTCTTGGTTCATTCTGAAATGCTCATATTTGACAGAAAACTGAAAGACATTGAGTTTTGGGCTGTTAGTTGGATAAATCAGGCAGTGTGAAGACCTCCTCAGGCTGCAGGAAATTAGACATTTTCAAAGATTTCTGTCATTTACTAGACAAAAGGAGTGATCAAAAATGAGAATTGGTACTTGCAACCCTACATGATCACATCTAGCGCTGAACCAGTTAGTCAGATAATCAATGGAGCCATCAATTAATGAATCGACCACAGTTTGATAATGATTATTCTTTAAAACTTCATATGAAGCAGAAATGCCTTTTCAACATTTTCTGCTTTTGTTTTATATAATTGTGAATTTAACCATTTTAGACTTTCTGGCATTGTTTAAATAAGCTGATTAATTGATAAAACAATCCATAAACAAAATGCTAATGAACATAGTTGCTGATTTCACCCCTTGAAGTTTTATTTGATACTGTCTTAAACGTCATCTGACATTTAAATGAGTAGTACTGAATAATATTACGTCATGTTTCAAGCCAGCGGAAACGTTGGGCAGATAATGTTGCTCACATTCTGTGTGCGCCCCCTGCACTTGCACTAGTTACTGTACATGAGTGTTTGACGTTGGTGAGAAGGCATCCAGGACCCCATCATCCTGTCCTTGTAGTTCAGATGAATTCTTTGTCAGCCAGATGTTGATGGTCACTGTCTTGTAGGTCCACCCAGGGTCCAGCACCTCTTACAGCCTGACCTCCACTCAGCCTTTCGCCACCTGTCTGTCCACAGCCCCAACACTGCCACCACTACTGAGTCAAGCCCAGACCTCATTGCAAGGTGAGAGGAAGACAGTTCTGAGACCAGTATGATTCACTAGCGTTTGTCAAGAAGCTGGAGCTAGTTATGATAGGCTTCCATTTCTCTAAACGGGGCTTTAAAGCTTTTCATATTCCACAGCAGATATGATGCTTTTATGCCTTTCAAAAAACAGAAGTAAACTTCAAGAATCGTTGTCCCTGTTCTTAGAGCCCGACCTCGATGACTGTCGCTTCCCATGTCAGGGGAACTCACCAAGAGAGAGTCTTTCCTCACAGTAAGTTTCAGTCTTTATTTTTCGGTATTCATTGGCATTTTTCATGTTACGTCTCCGACACAATCCCTGACTTTTACACTACTCCAGGCCTACTGAAAACAAGTGCGTATGTAGATGTTTATGAGACGGTTTCACTATCTCTGTCAGATGAGACATCTTCTGTGTACTGCAGCTGCAGTCAGATCAGTTTCTATTTCAGCAAACAGAAACGGGAAACAACAGGAAAATGGAGGATGGTTAACTACCACAGTGACTGTGTGGATTAGAAAACGGTACTAACAACAGCCACGGTGTTGTGTTGGTAGACTCCCCTGCCTGGCCGGAGCAGTGACTTACTGCTCTCTGACTCCCTGTTGTTTTCTCCTAATCTGCACCCAGGTCTCCCATGAGCTGTCTTCCTCTTCTCTTTGACCAGAGAGATGGGTTGGGTGCAGGAGTTAGAGCCCGTCCCGAGAACGTCCCTCCAGCAAGCTCCCACATTGAGCTCCTGCTGGAGAAACATGGCAACGAAGAGATGGGAGTCAACAGTGAGTGGGCCTAAAAAAAGACGAACCCGTTTCTGACACCCCTTTTCGTTAATATGACAGCATCCTAACGTGTCAGTGTTACATCTGAATGATGAATGAGCACCCTGGACAAGTTTCTGTAAAAGTTGCATGCGCAAGCTTGTCAGATAGTCACTTATCATTTTCAACACAGCACAAGTCTGAACTGCATGTAGTCACATTAATGGATAGGCCCACACAAGATTATGACAGTCTCGTTCATGTGGCAAATAGCACACGTGTACCATGATGCTCTCTGTCGCAGTCGTAGGTGTGTTTGAATGAAGCCATGAGGAACATCAACATAAGATAATGCTTTATTGACATTGTAACACGTACAACGAAATTTTAAAGTGACCTCCAGTCGGTACAGCAATAAAAGAAAAAAAACATAACATAAAATAAAAACACAACCCCTAAAAAAGCACCCCCGTAAGCAGAACTACAGAACTACAGAGAGCTCTTACAGATCCCATGTCTGAAAAGAGCTACAGAGTACAACAGTAGCTCCATATTAAAAATGAGGGTCACAGTTTGGTTAATGGGATAAGAAAGAAACATATGGGTATCTGTATGATATTCAGGCCATAGCATGTTGTCTTAATGTATTTTCTCTTGTAAAGCTCTTGATACTTTGACCTTTTCTTGCCTGTAAAAACTCTTCACATGACAAAGCCTGAGAAGGAGAAACCACTGTTTTGGATGAACTGCTCACTGCAGGCCATGATTCAGTTACACTGCACAGTTGTGTCTGTGAGAACAACCTGGTTTCATTTAGGGATGATAAATGTATTTCCATCCATCCATCCATCCATTTTCCTCCGCTTATCTGGGACCGGGTCACGGGGGCAGCAGTCTAAGCAAAGATGCCCAGACTTCCCTCTCTCCAGACACTTCTTCCTGCTCCTCCGGGGGAATGCTGAGGCATTCCCAGGCCAGCCGAGAGACATAGTCCCTACAGCGTGTCCTGGGTCTTCCCTGAGGCCTCCTCCCGGTGGGACATGCCCAGAACACCTCCCTAGGAAGGCGCCCAGGAGGCATCCGAAACAGATGCCCAAGCCACCTCAGCTGGCTCCTCTTGATGCGGAGGAGCAGCGGTTCTACTCTGAGCTCCTCCCGGGTGACCGAGCTCCTCACCCCATCTCTAAGGGTGCGCCCGGCCGCCCTGCAGAGAAAGCTCATTTCGGCCGCCTGTATCCGGGATCTTGCCCTTTCGGTCATGACCCAAAGTTCATGACCATAGGTGAGAGTCGGAACGTAAATGTATTTGTGGAGCCTATTTGGAACAAAAATAGTGCAGCCAGAGACGGTGTGACAAAGCTGAAAGCAGCTCGAGCAGGGAGATTTTTTTTCTAATGTTTCTTCTCTTATGTTCAGTTTCTGTTTTGTGTCCTCCTGTATCAGACAGCTCACTGCCTCTTACTCTGACTCCCTTTTCGCTGAGGACTTCATCAGCTGCCAGGAGTTTTCTGATCTATTCTTAGCTACTTTGTTTTGCTCCACCCATTGCTATCACAGTTTTCTGCTTTTTTCTGTTTTCTTAATCTTTGACATCATTGTACCACTGTTTCCTCTCTCAAAATCAAATATGGGCTCTTCTTTTTTTCCCCAGCCCTCAAAATATCTCTTAACCATATAGCTTTATACATCTTAGCCTCCCTTTGTCTGTAAAAAGAAATGCCCTGCAGTTTCCACCCTAAATGTATTTCTCTGGAGCCCAGGAAGAGTTCACTTTCAGAGGCGTAGTGCAGTGTTAGAACATTTTTTAGGTGCCGTGGCAAGAGGGTGATAGAGGTATGATAGAGAAATGCTGTATCAGAAATATTTTATTTAAGTCGGGCTTTTCTCCAGAAGTATTTTAAAATGCCAGTGGGAGATACTGGAAGTGTGTAATAATGGTATTGTATTGGACCTGCCATTCTTTAAAGCCCTCATATCCTCAGGTCCACCTATAGAGATTTTTCTTGATTAGACCAATAAACCAGAATAGATGTGTAGGTGTGCATACGCTGCACTTTATTCATCATTTAGAGCTATTCCCTACATAAAAACATGAATTAGATAATAGTGAGCCGCCAAGTGCTTTCAGATGAGTCATCGTCATTTGTATCATCACTCACACTACATCTGTGTTTTAGTCCAGTGCCATATAATACATGCATTTTAACGTGGAACTCAAATGAAAATTGCTTAAAGTAGACAGAGTACACGAGGCAGCAAAAAGGGGTGTTTTAGGACACAGGAGTAGTTTGGTGACCTCTTTACATTTTCCAACACAGCTCTGGCCGACATCAGCCCAAGCAGGGGCCTCATCGGTCAGAATAACTGAAAACACCTGTGTGGCTGCACAGGATCGTGAAAGTGGCCTAACCAGAAGCTCAGTGCAGGTTACTGTGTCATCTCTCTGACACGTGTCCCCTGTGCACTCTTGATTGTTTAACCAGGACTGATTTGTCCTGACACATACAAGCGTCTTTAACAGCATACTGTAATTTAGTACAGATGCTGACAGAAGTAGATAACTGTTATGAACTGTTTTGCAGGAAAACATTTCCAGTGTTAAAACTCTGAAGGCACAGTGATGAAGTTAAATGTGTTCATACCTTTTCTTTGCTTAACATATTTGACATAAATGGCAAGTCTCACTTCATGGGAAAATGAAAAATCTTTTTCATATAAATAATTGGTAAACCTAAAAATAAATTTCCCACATTTCCCATTACTTTGACCTCCCAGCAAACACTGTATTTTGTTGCTATTTCACAATGTACAACCCCAGCCATAAAAAGTTGGAATGGTATGTAAAATTAAAACTGAACATTGTGATGTGTAAATCATCTGTGTCCTGTATCACATTGAAAACAAGCAGCACATTATTTGATGTGATACCTCATCAGTTTTATTCTTTGTTCAAAGTAAACACTCACTTCAATACTGATGCTGCAACACATTCCAAAAAGAATTGGGACACTAAAGCATTCAACAGGGTGTGATGTTGCCGTTCCTTCTCACAACACTTAAAAGAGGTTTAAGGACTGAGGACACCAAGTGATTTTAAATGTGTCAGGTGTCATTTTGTCCCTTTCTTCCTGCAAACAAGGAGAATGAATGCAACCAGAGCATCTGGGGAAGGTCATGGTCGGTGCTTTAACCCCTAGGCCACAAGGGTGACTGAGAATCTATTTGTTGTTGAAAACTCACAGCTCAAAATTATGGACCAAGCATCTCAAATAGTTACATTTAGAGTATACTGTCCTTCTGTGCCTTCCATGTTTGTCACTGTCCAGTTTGCCCACATTTCAACACTTCCTGCCTGCATCACATCCAACCCCAACACTGTCTTTCAGCTACAAGCCTGTCAAGTAACAAAGGTGTGACTGCGCTTTACGTGTTGCTTGTTAATGGTTTTTAATCTCTTCTTCCTGCCACTCCAGTTGTGGAGATGCTCCAGTCGCTACACTCCCTGCAGCAGGAAAACCAGCGCCTCCAGGACCAGATCCTCAGCCTGACAGCCAAGAAGGAACGACTGCAGCTGCTCAACACGGAGTTGGCTGTGCCTTTTCCTCCACATGCTCATTCTGCCCAGGGATCCATGCACACCTCTGCCCAGATCAGCTTCCTGTCATCCACCCAAGGTCAGGTTCTTCATCTTTTCTACCTACTTTGATATCAAAACCTTTGGAAACAGTATTCCTATGATGTCATATAGTATGCCTATGGTGACAATAGAAAAGATCGATTTAGTAGTTTTCGCCCTGTGTTTGTGCCTCTTTGTTCCTTAGACCCCCTGAGCACCAATAAGAGTCCCCTGTCGAAAAGCTGTTTCCTGACTGACACCTCTTTTGTTACCTCATCTGAGGTGAGAATCCTTTCCTACATTGTACGCATTACACACCTGTGTTAGACAATATCAGGTATGTTTCTCCCTGTTAAACAACGTTTTACCACAAAATGTGGTTTAAAGCCCAGTACAGTGGTGACAGTGATCATTGCTGTTGTCTGGCACCATCAGATACACAGTATACACTCTATAGACTTTTGTGCCATTGTTTTTTCACTGTAAACAAAAATGTAAACGCACTGAATACGTACAGCTCCGTATCTAAAATGCATTTTTCTTGTCTTCATTCCAGGAGCTGCACTCCGGTAGTCCGTCCCGCAGTAGCTCATCCCTCTCCTTCCAGAGTACCCCTCCTCCTCAGCAGAGCCCCGCCTCTTTTGGCCAGCCTGTGCTGAACGGCCTGAGTCGAGGTCTGACTGACAGCTTGGGGACCACCAGTCAGGCTGGCAGCCCCTCTTTGCCCATGGTGGGTGGTCTCATGGCGTCGCTCGCAGGGAGCGCTCAGCTGAATATGAACGGTGTACTGGGCAGTCTGAACGGTGTGATCCAGTCTCCTGTGCAGAACGCCCCTCAGGCCGCACTCCCTGCTCTCCGCCCCCAGCCTCCACCACTCAATCCCCAGGCACTGGCACAGGGCTTCCAGCTCCCCAAGAGTGTGAGCCCGTACGTACCCAGTCAGTCTTTAAATCAGCCAAGGAAGAAATCCACTTTGACAGGGATTGTTGTTATGTGTGAAGGCAGTTGACAGATTGTACTAGAACCATGGATAGGTCTGTGTTTATTTGGGCTGATTGGCCAGTGTGCCGTTGTCTGCTGTTTAAAGTGGACACATATGTTGATGTTTGTGTTTTAGGTCTTCGCTCCTGTCAGAGCAGCAGAAGCAGCTTCTTCTCGAGCAGCAGCAGCTCCAGCAGTTCCTCACCTCACAGAACTTCACTCCTGTAATGAAGCTCTCTATCACTTTGGCTTATTCTCACATGTATTTCACACTGTGCACTCTCTTGTAGGGTCTCCCATATGTGGGGTATTCTTTCTGGGGTGTGACTAAAATTGCTTTTTCATCATATTTAGAAAACAATTCACCACAGTGTCAGATGCAGGTGTTCTCTACGCAGAAAAGGTCAGTTAACCAGAACTATCTAATCACAGTGGCCAGAAACTTCAGATAATATTTCTATTCAAAAATCAGTTGAAATGATCAAGAAGTAATCCATTCACCCATTGACACAGTGTCGCAACTCAGGCAGTACTTGTAAAATGTTTAGTTCTTAGGTTTAGGCAAGTTAATAACTTACTATCAAATATGTGAGATCTAAGATGAGAAGCAGAAATAAGACTAAGACTTAATATATTGTCAGTTAATAACATTAATAATACAGTGGCTTCAAAAGTATTCAGACCCATTGTGTTGACGATAGACGCCATTTTCGGGCACGCTCCGTTATCCAAAATGACAGTGACACCATATTTTATACATTTTTGTAAATGTTGTAAAAACTGAAATCTGTCGTTTCCAAAAATATTGAGAGCCATGCTGAGGCACGCCAAACTGTGGTCAGGTGCATCCTCCTTTTTAATGACTGTAAAAATGCCATGTTTTCACTTTGACATTATGAGTTATTGAGTGTAGATGTGTGGGGAGAAATGGAAGTTTCTTTCTATTTCAAATGACACTAAATGTGCAACAAGTGGAGGGATCTCATTACTTTCTGAAGCCATTTCATGATGTTTACAATATGGAATCTTCATCAACAACAGCAAAGCAGCCTACATTCATGTTCTTTTTTGACTTGCAAACTAGTGAAGCATCTGGGGAGGATGGACGCACTCAAGCACTGTGGTGCCTGATAAATATAGCAACTCATTTGTTTCCTTTGTGGCTGAAGGTCAGGGCTTATTACTGAATGTGATTTCCTCTGTCTCTGTGCAAGTGTTACCGTAGGTAAGAATGCTGCAGCGTGGCCGACTGAGGGAGAGCTACATTTGTTCAGCTGTTACTATCCATCTGTTTCACAAACCTGTTACATGAATGAGAAGAAACATTTGAAAAGCTGCCATGTGGTGCAATGATTTATTTTCACTTTCAGTTCCTGTTTTAAAAGCCTTAACCTTAAAGTTTGCAATGCAAAAACACACCTTTGCATGATGCCACATAGCCATACATCCGGTGTGTGCTGCTTGGGGTCTAAAGCTCATCAGGGAACCTTTTTAAAAGGGCTCAGATTCCTTTTAAATGTAGGCCTGTTCTCAGATGACAGGTGTGCCGGATGTGTTGTAAACTGGCCATGTTCTCTCCCTCCTCCACCAGGAGCAGCAGGTGGTGGTGTGCCAGATGCTGCAGCAGCAGAGACAGAGGGAGCTGCAGCGCCTCACACTGACAGGAGCGCTCGCGTCCACCCCAAACTCCCCCATGATCTCCCAGTCCCCTAGCCTGCTGTCCTCAGCTGCGGCCTCTCCCGGCCAGGTAGGCAGCCTGTTTGGTCTGCAGGACAGCACCCTCCACAAGCCCGGGGTGAGTAACACTGCAGGGGTTCTCAAATGATTACTGTAATACTGTAATAGTTTTAAGGTTTATTAAATAATTTGTTTTTTTTACATTGTGTAATTGTGTTTTTAGGCCACAGGAGAGAAGGGTGGAGACAAGAACGGCTGACATCTATCAGTAACAGAGGATCAGCTCAGATGAAGAACTCGGGCATCACACGCCCACTTGAAGAACCGAGGTCAACTTACAAGGCATTTGAACGTCTTTCCTTCTCTGTCATCTTCATCTTAAATCCTGTGAATGTATAACAAGATGGACAGAACATCAAGGTGATGTTTTTTGTGTGTGGAAATTCTTCATATCAGAGGTTCTCATAGGTTTTTGTGTAGGCAGCTTTCATAAAGCCCAGGGTCTCTTCTTAAATTGCACTAATTTGTTAGCTAGATCAGTGGGGCCGCTTATGAAGACAGAGCCAGAGTTCCTGTTCTTCCCAGCAGGTGCTGTCTGAGCTTTTGGTTTGAAGTGTGAACTCGAGGTCACAGTGTCTCCTCCTGGACTTCTGAAGCACTGACCGTTGGTGAATCCCCTTCAGGTCCTGAACCAGAGTTCCCATTCAGTCAGTGAGAATCAGCAACCTCAACTGTCTTCCTTGATATTTTGTCTTCCCTTTGTGTTCATCCATCTAAATTTCATCCAGGTGTTCTATATGTCACAGCCGCTCACAGGCACCTAATATGTAACAGATACTGTCATTTTCCTCGTGTGGTTAGTGGCGTGTCAATGTTAAGCTAGTAATTACCTCAGACTTTTCACCCACTTATTTTGCTTTGTTGACATTCTGTGATGACTCATTACCGCAATAGCCTTCACTGGATCGAAATACCCACCAAAAAACCTGGTGCTAATTCTAAGCATTCTCATGTAAATATAAAAATGTCACACGACCCACGTGTCAAAAATGGCGCCACTGTCTACTAGAGACGGGTATCAACGTCAACGCTGAGCACCAGGTTTTATCTGAACCACCCTCAAGAGTTTCTAAAGAGTTTTCTATCCTTCCAGTTGCTGTCGAGATTAAGCAAATGAAACCAAACATTTGGAAATTGTAAGTAAGAAATCGTTTTTCCTAAACAAGTGTGCACTTTGCATGTTAGAGCAAATTAGCCATCAGCATAGTTCCTTATAAAGGATACCTGGTACTTACTAAGTCACTAGGGACTGACAGGTTGTTGATTTATATGAGTATTTTGCACTGTGTCCTGAAGTGTCAGTTTTTTTTTGTTACTTTCATACCTAGATATTCTTTTCATGTCTGCCAACTAGTTGTTCTTTTAGCAATACTGGATAGATAATGCCTTAATGATGCTAGATTGACAGAGAGCCCATGAGCCCAGAGGCTCACTCTCTCCTTGTCTTTCTTTGATAGTGTTTTTTTATCTCGGGTACATGAAGGCGTGCGTTTGTAAAGTGAAAGCGCTGTTCCTAAACCCATTTATACCTTTGATAGCTGACTGATGATTTCAACAGTTGAAATGTGTCAGTAACCGTATAGTGGTAACTAAAGTGTCAAATCATTTTCTATTGTAATTTTTGTGTTCAGATGCAATGTTCTTTAGATGTTTGTGATACAGAGAACTGAGAAACAAGGACTTGTTGATAAAGTAAAGCTTGCACAGTGGTGTCAATAGAAGACAGCTGGGGACAGCCAAGATGTAAACTATTACTGAAGAGCTGTTGCAACCCTGTATGATACATAGTGTAGCTGTAATCAGCACTGAGAAGATGGTGAATTGCCAGTGTTGTTACACTTGGCCTTTACTGCAGGGCTGTGTGAGCCCATCTTCATAACTTAAGTCAATGTAGAGAC